AGAAACAATATAAAATCTGAAGAGACTTTAGTAACAAAATTGAATTAATAATGAAAAAACTCCCAATAAACTCCATATCCAGATGGTTTCACAGTTGAATTCCAGCAAACTTTTTTTTAAAGATTTTTATTTATTTATTTGACAGACACTGAGAGAGGGAACACAAGCAGTGGGAGAGGGAGAACCAGGCTTCCCGCTGAGTAGGGAACCCAATGCAGGGCAGGAGCCTGGGATCATGACCTGAGCCGAAGGCAGCTACTTAACAACTGAGCCACCCAGGCACCACTCCAGCAAACATTTGAAAATTAATACCTTCCCTTCTTACATATTCCCCCAAAATTTGAAGGAACACTTCCAAACTAATTTTACAAGGCCAGCATTACTCTAATACTGAAATCAGACAGTGACACTACAAAAAAAACCACAAAATTACACACCAATATCTCTGATGAACATAGATGCAAGAATCCTCAATAAAATGAGCAAACTAAGTTCAAAAATACACTAAAAATCACACAGTGTGACCAAGTGGGATTCATTCCAGGCACGCAAAGATGCTTTATCATTCACGAATCAATGTGATACCCTCTATTAGCAAAATGAAGGATAAAATTTATATGATTATTAAAATAGACAAAAAACACTTGAGAAAATTCAACATCCATTTAGGATTAAAAACTCTCAACAAAGTTTGTACAGAGGAAATATACCTCAACATAATAAAGGCCATATATGACAAATCCACCGGAAACATTATACTCAATGGTGAAAAGCTGATACCTTTTCCTCTTGATCAGGAACAAGACAAGGATGCCCACTGTCAACACTTTTATTCAATATGGTATTGGAATTCCTAGCCACGCCAATTAGACAAGACATAAAAGGTATCTAAATTAGGATGGAGGAAGTAAAGCTTTCACTATTTGCTGTGGACATGATACTATATACATAGAAAATCCTGAAGACTCCACCAAAAAACTATTAGAATAAATGAATTCAGTAAAGTTGCAGGATACAAAATTAATATACAGAAGTCTGTTGGATTTCTACACACTATACTTCTAACAAAGTAGCAGAAAGAATAAATGAAGAAAACAATCCCATTTACAATCACATCAAAAAAATACCTATGAATAAATTTAACAAAGGAAATAAAAGATGTATACTCTGAAAACTTAAGAACACTGAAGAAGTTGAAGACAACACAAATAAATAAAAAGATATACTATCCTCATGGAGTGAGAGAATACTGTTAAAATGTCCATACTACCCACAGCAGAATGCCAGTGGCATTTTTCAAAAAACTAGGACAAATAATCCCCCAATTTTTTTAAAAAAGATTTTATCTATTCACTCGACAGAGATCACAAGTAGAGAGAGAGAGAGGGGGAAGCAGGCTCCCTGTGGAGCAGAGAGCCCGATGTGGGGCTCGATTCCAGGACCCCAGGATCATGACCTGAGCTGAAGGCAGAGGCTTAACCCATTGAGCCACCCAGGCGCCCCTAATCCCAAAATTTGTATGGAACCACAAAAGACCCCAAACAGCCAAAGCTAATCTTAAGAAAGAAGAACAAAGCTGGAGAGTCATGATCTCTTATAACTGTACTATAAAGCTATAGTACTCAGAACAGTATGGTATTTGCATGAAGACAGGCACATAGATCAATAGAACAGCCTAGAAATAAACCCACGCTTACATGGTCAACTAAACTATGACAAAGAAGGCAAGATCATACAATGGCAAAAAGTCTCTTCAATAAATAGTGTCATAAACACTGGACAGCTACATGCAAAAGAAAGAAACTGGACCACATTTTTACACCACAGGCAAAAATCAACTCAAAGTGGATTAAAGAATGCAGTGTGGGGCACCTGGGTGGCTCAAATCATGATCTCGGGGTTACAGGACTGGACCCTGTGTTGGAATCCACGCTAAGTGTGGAGCCTACTTAATGAAGAAGTAAAGGAAGTAAGGGATGTAAAGGGTGGGGTGGGAGACAATGGAAGGAAAGGAAGGAAGGAATGGGAGGGAAGGAAGGAAGAGAAAAGAAAAAAAAAGAGAAAGAATGGAATGTAAGACCTGAAACTATAAAACTACAAGAAAACATAGGTAGTAACCTCTATGTCAGTCTAAGCAATTTTTCCTGGTTGGGGAGGAATCTGTCTCTTCTGGCAAGGGCAACAAAAGCAAAATAAACAAATGGGATTACATCAAGCTAGAAAGCTTTCCCACAGCAAAGAAAACCACCAACAAAAGAAAAAGGCAACCTACTAAATGGGAGAAGATACTTGGAAATGATATATCTGATATGGGGTTGATATCTAAAATATATGAAGAACTCATACAACTAAGTAATGGCAAAGAAAAACCAACCCAATTTAAAAATGGGCAAATCACTGAGATAGACATTTTTCCAAAGAAGATATATGGCCAACAAACACATGAAAAGATGTTCAACAACATTCTGCATCAGGGAAACGCAAATCAAAATTACAAATGAGATACCACTTCACACCTGCCAGAATGGCTAGTATCAAAAAGGTAAGTATTGGTGAGCATGCGCACTGTCGTTGGGAATGTAAATTGATGCAGCTACTATGGAAAACAATACAGAGGTTTCACAAAAAATTACAAATAGAACTACCATTTGATCCAACAGTTCCACTTCTAGGGATTTATCTGAAGCAAACGAGAATACTAATTCAAAAACACATATGGACCTCTGTTCATTACAGCATTATTTGTAATAGCCCAGATATGGAAGCAACCTAAGTGTCCATCCACAGATGAATGGATAAAGATACACACACACACATACAATGGACTATTAACCATAGAAAAGAATGAAATCTTGCCATTTGTGACAACATGGATGGACCTTGATATTATGCTAAGTCAAAGAATGACAAATACCATAAAATTTCACTTACATATGGAATCAAAGAAAAAACAAAACAGAAACAGACTCATGGAAACAGAACTGGTGGTTGCCAGAGGGGAGGGAGAGCAGATGAAATAGGTGAAGGGGATTAAAACATACAACTTCCAATTACAAAATAAGTCATGGGGATGTAGCGTACAGCAGAGGGAATATAGTCAATAATACTATAATAACTTTGTATGGTAAAAGATGGTAACTAGACCTACCTGATCATTTTGTAATGTATACAAGTATCAAATTATTGCATACCTAATAATAATATTGCTTATCAATTAGAATCTAATAAAAAATAAAAGTGATAGAAAACAAAAACCAAAAGCTTCAGCCTGGTGAAAAGAAGGATAAAAATAAAATCTTACAAATAAGAAATAATAAAGTCCCATGAACAAGTATAGGATTTCTCAGCTGCACACTGGAAACTGCAGTACCATGGAACATTACCTAGACTTCTTAGGGGAAAAAAGATAGCTATGACCTGAAAGCCTGAAATATCATTAGGATAACATTTACTAATCAGGGTGAAGGAATGTTATTCATAGAGCTGCAAAATTTTATAGACTATTTCCCATGTGCCTCATCTATGGAACATTCTTCAAAAAGGACTATTCAACTGCAAAATAAGCCAGAACAGCAACTTCAAAATCAGGGAAGATGAAGATAACAAATAGTAATGAGCAATGACTCATGCAATGTATGAATAATTAAGTCTGAATAGGTAATAGTATAGTGACTAGGAATTGGTAATGTTGTAAATGCTAAATATTCTTTGAAAAAAAAAAAACCTGTGTGACTAATATAGGACTATAAAACACCCAGCTTTAGTGCTCAGAGTCTTACTTTGAATAACCAGACTCCCAGATTTACGTTAACTCCATGCTATCATGGGACATCCGGCATGACAATCCCCAGTCTAGTCCGACTCCCTCTATTTGCGCATTTGGATAATGACCTGGTTCCCTCCTTGATGCCAGCTGTGTACTATCAATGATGTGTAGTGCCTGCACATAAATAGGATTGTGAGAAAAGCACTTACTGGTTAGGTTTAAGCATTGAAAAGAGAGTCAATAGCACTGGGATTGGGGGTGGTCTCTACACCAAGGTATGGGCTAGATTAATCAGTGAATTTGAGGCAGTGATTTGATTACGATATACAAAAATTATAATAACTACTCTTTGAGTGTTTCTATGGCAAGGACTTAATTAGATGTGTTATATATGTTATTTCATATGATGCTTAGACAGCCTATAAGGACAGATTAGTATTATCCTGTTTTTCAGGTGAGGAAACTTTAAGACTCAAAAGAGTAACTTGTCCAGGTCTCATAGCTGGTAACTGTGTCAGGTGACCTTTTTATGTTTTCAGTACTTCCCCCTATACAGATACGAAAGATTTTAACTACTAGGTCACGTGTCTTTGGGGATTACAGTCTATGTTTGGAAATAACCTAACACAATTTCTTCACTTGCCTGAGCTTTCTACTAGGTGCAGTGTGTAATTACGACAGTCAGTGGACATCTGTGTACTAAACTTTGAGGGCTGGAGAGGGAGTTGAGGAGTAAGGTCTGGGGGAAGGGGACCTCAAACAGAACCATTAGAAAACAAAGCATTCATCTGTAAATTTTTGACCACTGAAAGCCTACAACAGCCTAAAATAGCACATACCATTAATGATGATGGGGATTAGGGATCAGAAACTTCATAGTTGGACATGGGAAATGATATTTGACATTTTAAGGGAATACTATTTGGTTTAATTGGGAAACAGGAAATCTCTTATGCTTTGTTTTTCCTTCTAAAATGTCATAGCTGAAAATATAAATAACTTCCAAGTCTTGAAAAAGACTCTGGGTTCTCACTGACCATTTTAGGAAGGATAGAGAGAACATTATGCTTTATTTGTAATTTCTTGTCATGGAAAATATAAGCAGTAAGTCATTTAAACCAACAAATCTGGTTTTGGGTTTTGGTTCGTTATGTTAACAGAACCCAGACGTCCGTTCATTTGATATTTCCCATCTTTTGATCATACTGATTTTTATTTTGTCTTTTATTTTCAGAAGGAATTTTGGAACACCTACACAAAAGCACAACAAGGAGAGAGTAACAGAGGAAGTGACTGGTTTCAGTTTTACCTTACCTTTCCATTAATCTTTGGCCTCTTTATTATCCTTCTGGTCATTTTTCTAATTTGGAGATGCTTCCTCAGAAACAAAACCCGCAGACAGACAGTAACTGAAGGCCACATTCCTTTCCCACAGCACCTTAATATCATCACTCCGCCTCCCCCACCAGATGAAGTGTTTGATAGCAGTGGATTGTCACCAGGCTTTCTGGAATATGTAGTTGGGCGCTCAGATTCCGTCTCCACTCGTCTATCCAACTGTGATCCCCCACCCACCTACGAGGAAGCCACTGGCCAGGCGAACCTCCGGAGGAGTGAAACAGAACCTCACTTAGACCCACCCCCAGAGTATGAGGACATCATTAATTCCAACTCAGCCAGTGCCATTGCTATGGTGCCTGTGGTCACCACCATCAAATGAAACTGCAACCTTCTTTTTACTATAATCATTTTTAAAATACTAATGAAAGAACTTTCTAGCACTTTACCACCACATAAATGTGCATTGACTTATTTTATCAGACTGACAGCATACCACTTCTCATTTTCTGATTTGATTTTCAGGAGTTTTGTTTCCTACTATAAAATCATTATCCATGCCCATTTTCTCTAATGGAAATGTGTGAAGAGGGAAAAACCTTAGTGGAGGTCTTCACGTGATGTGATGAGACATACATACATGTCTATACACATGTGTGTATGGGCACATCAGCCCAGTACATGTACAAGTATCTTAAAAAGTCATTACCTTCTGTCTAAATCACCTATAAAGAGAATATTCCTCCAAAATTGGGGGGTGGCGGGGAGACACTAACCATTTGTGTATAGCCGGCCACATGCTGTCGAATTTTGAAAATAAGATGAACTTGGCATATTCTTCAGTTCTTACTGGCTTTTGTTAACATCCCCTTTTCTTCAAATACCTTAAAAAATGCATGTATTCTATCTTGATTCTAGGAACATCTCAGAGAGAGAGAGAAGGAAGGCAAAATAAACAATTATTTACTTACAGTGTACAGCAAGAATATCATTGGCCACTAGTGACATTTGGCTAGTTTTAGAGGAAGGATTTTGTTGTTGACCGCCTTTCTCCACCCTCCCTACCCCAAATTAAACAGTCTTTGCTTGTGTCTTTGAATGTCTCATGCTATTTGTATTAACATCTTGGTAGAGAGGATTTCCTGGTAACAGAATAGTGTCTGAAGCAGTTACATGTATTAATGACAGGGAATAGATACAGATTTCTCCTTAGCTCATTTGTGACAATAATTATTTTCTTTTTGCTGTTTTATTGCCTTTTACTCTGTCTACTCTCTCTCCTACCACCACAGAATCTGTAAGAACCTAAGAATTTAGTTAAAATTCTTGAAATTATTTTCTTAGTTGTTTTATAGACTGAAGTCTTTGCCATGAGATGATTAGGAGGTATTTTTCCATTAAATTAAGAACTGTGATTTTATATTGCTCTCCAGTTGGTGGAGGAAAACTGCAAAGTCTGTGTTGTGCCAGGTGCACAATAAATCTGTTCTAGTTTCACATAGATCTCATTATTGTTGCTATTTCATTTTGTATTTTCATCCTTTTTTTTAAGTGCAGGATTTTTCTTTTCCCTTGGAGTAGAGGTAACAGGCTGTGAATGAACTGCCAACATAAACTGGCTCGGAAAGAAGGGTTGTTTCGTACAGAGTGCCATTATGTATGCACTGATGGAAAACTCATTATATTGGTCGGGGGAATGTCTGTGCCACTCCCAAGCCTCCTTAGTGTCGGAGAACATGGTTAATTGAGGCAGAAGGAATGCAGGTCTGGAAGCATCAGCCATATCCCGTTGCCTCCATCTCCATCCCCGCGGGCCCCTCCCTCAAATCCTGCCCTGGAGCCCAAAAAGGAGGAATGCTGGGGGAAAACCCTGATCTAGGAGTCAGATGACCTGACTTCTCATCCCGTTCTATAAAAAAGGTATTTGCCATGGTACCCTGGGAAAGACTCCTATCTGCACCTGATTCCTTAACTCTGAAACAGATAATGTCATTTGTCCTGCCCATCTCCAGGGGCTTTAAAAGGATCTAATGAGATGGTTTGTATGAAAGTAATTTCCAAGATGCGAAGAGCTATGTGTGAGGTCATAGCATTGTTCTTACTGTGCTTAAAGGAGACTTTTCTCCATTTCCCTAAAATTTATCAGAGCTTTCACATAGTGTGAAATAGAGGCGGCTGCTCCATTAACGGCTAACATGCTCCTGAACTGAGTATCTGGGCTATTAAACGTCTGTCACTCTCTGGTCTATACCAATGCTGTGCCAGTTCAAGAGACGACAGCCAGCTTAGCGCAAACAAGATTAAGCAGATGCTGGAAAGGGAACTAAGACATAGGTGTTTAGTTAATAGGGTTTGTAGCTTTCATGAACTAAAAATTAATAAATCTTGACCCTAGTCTCAGTAGAAATGGCCATATTATTTTGAATTTTACTGTGAGCACATGGTGACTTTGGGCTCCTAGTTACAGCTAAAAGTGGGAGTGTTTGATCCAGTGACTTCTGTGTGCATGAACGGCTATTTTGGTTTATTTTTAAAGGAAAATTAAGTTTCCTTTTGTGTGGGCTTTTTTTTTGGGGGGGGGGGGTCATTAACATTAGACCTTAGATGAAACCAGCAGTTTTAAAGTGTGGCTGACTCTTGAACCCCTGGGAATCCTTGAGAGCCTTGCAGGGAATCTGTGAGATCAAAACTTTTCATAATACAAAGGCATTAGTTGTCTTTTCACTCCATGTCTCAAAAAGCAGTTGAAAATGTAAAACAGTGCCATTTCCCACAAATTTTTTTTTCTGTTTTAGGAAATACAGCTATTTTCTTAAAAATGTTATTTATGTTAGCATGTAATAAACTTTAATTTTTGAATACTTAATATTTTTCAGTTTTATTTCCTAATATGGCAAATATTGATGGATATAAATTATATAAACAAAAGCTCTTTGACATCCAGGTATCTAATAAATTTTAAAAGAGTATAAAGAGGTCTGGAGATCAAAAGTTAGAATTATAGGATTAGAAAAGGGAGGATATTCTATTACTATGTATATATTCTTGCAACTTTATTTTACATTTTAAAGTCCTGATATCGGATTTAATGCTGCCTCTTAGAAATACCTGCATTGCAATATAAGAATGGATGTTGGTTCTTGAAGCAAAAGCCAAATGCTTAATCTAATCAACAGCTACAGTTTTTTCACCTGTCGGTCAAAGAAAACACACCACTCTGTAGTAGTAACTGACACCAGCCACAGCTCTCATGGCAGCATTCATCGGATAATGACAAGATAAACAAAAATAACACTTTCTTCAAGAAATATTCTCTTAGATTCATTTTGTTTGATTTTGACCTAGGTTTTACATTTTTCGAAACCCTTTTGCTATCCCATCTGGTTTTATAAACTGAGTTTCTTAACATTTGTTATAATTAAAGAGGCTTGTCTGGAATAATATCTATTTTTTATGCTTTTGCCTTTCTTACATGATTGATATTACATTCACCTTTGGTCATTTTAACAAAGGTTTATTTTTGCAGATATATTTAGTATCTTTATTAAGCAGTAACTAAATTATATCAACCAGTTTGCATTTAAATGAGAGAATGGGCTTAATGGTCTTCCAGTGGAATGATTTCCAGGCCTCCACATGCAGTGGCTGTGTCTGGAATCCTAGAACTGGCACTTTCTAGCTTTCTGCTTGGAATTATATCTGTTTAAAGTGAATTAAAGGATTTCTTTTTTTTTTATTGACCAGTACAAATACAAATGCTGTGTTTGATTCATTGTTAATGAGGACTTCAAGATTGATGATCTGATACAATAACTTGGTTCTGTGTAAATAGCATGTATTTTACTATAATTCACATTTTTAAACACCTGGTTTACATTAAATTATGGTATTTAACTATTTTTATGTTTATACTAGGTAAGTTTTTTCTTATGTTTCTGTGTTTTTGGTATGCTAAATAAAGCTATTTTTAAACCCAAGAGATTTTTTCTGCCATGTATTAATTATGGTTAGGTAAGAATCATGCTTCATAAGCATTTATTAATTATGGTCTTTTTAACAAGAGAAAATGGTTTCTTTTCTTTCTTATGAAGTTAAGAAATATTGCTCAGCAAAGAAATCAGAAATTATCTGGTGAAAACTTCAGGGTGTTTTCAGCATAAGAAAGAATTTTTTGTACTAACTTTTGAATGATGTGGGCATGATACAAAATGGGGCCACTCACTCCAGGGAGACCTTCCTGCTGTAGTATAGTTTGTTAAGTCTTGGGCATAGTGTTGTCTGCAGATACCAAGGAACTGCTTTTTTCCCTCCGTAGCAGCTTGCATTTGACATTTGAGAAGATAAGAAAGGAAAGCATAAGATGGAATCATTTATGACCACAGGACATCTTCCTAAGCGTAGTCACCAAAAAGACTAAAAGGTGATGTGATGAGTCATTGATTAAGCAAATGTAAATATGATTTGATCTTTATGGTATAAATATTAAAATGTTTTACTTATAATCTGTCTTAACATTTCTCCTTGACTATAACTGTGAGTATTCATTTTGTAAGCATAAATCCCAGAGAGTTGTCCAAAACATCATAAAAAGGTAATTTTAAAAATATACAGCAATTTCTAAAAATTATGTGACTTATAGATTAATACATCCATGAAACCCAACACCTAGATCAAGATATTTCTAGTACCCCAGAAGGCTCCCTCATACACCTCTCCCTAAAGATAACACTGTTCTCACATCTATCATAAAAGATCAAGATTTTAAATTTCATACTTGGCTGTAGCCATAAGCCAAAAGACTTGACTTGTCCTTTTTTAAGTTCTTATTTCAGAAAACTTCAAAGTAGATGTTCGAAAGCTGCTCATCCATCTCTTGGCTCTCCTTGAATCTACTCCTTCTCTCTAAGCCTTTTCTACATACCTGAAGCTCTTTGAAGTCAAGAATTATGTTTACTCCTTTTAACTCCCTTCCCCCCAATACATGAAATACCTAAAAGTGAGGGCTTTTTTAAGCCCATGTATTGACCAAAATATAAGTAGTTTTCTGTCTTAATGCTTATTTCTGCTGTAATTCTTAGCACCGACCATTTCCTTAAACTTTGTATGAGGACATTTTGTTCTTGGTAATTTTATTTTGTATTTTTTTCAGACTTCAAAATCCACTATTATCTGGTCCCACAGGCTTATCTAACCTTATTTCCTTACACAGCTAACATAACAGATATTTACAACGTGCCTACTTTGTGTGAAGCTAAGGTGGTAAGAAAATAATGGTGCCTATAGACATCATCTCTAGGGGTTTTGCAATCAGGTTAAGACTGGGAAAAACTAGGGCACCTGGGTGGCTCAGTGGGTTAAGCCGCTGCCTTCGGCTCGGGTCATGATCTTAGGGTCCTGGGATCAAGTCCCGCATCGGGCTCTCTGCTAAGCAGGGAGCCTGCTTCCCTCTCTCTCTCTCTCTCTCTCTCTGCCTGCCTCTCCGTCTACTTGAGATCTCTCTCTGTCAAATAAATAAAATCTTTAAAAAATAAAGACTGGGAAAAATTTTTAATGTAGTGTAACCCTAATTCCATTCCAGCTCACAGAGATTCTTTTTGCCCAAAGTCCTCTGGTATTTACAACCAGGCATATTTATCAGGCAGTCCTGTATATCAGTCTATTTGTTATTTTTACAAGTTTTTAGCAGTGAAAGCTAACTTCCAGAAAAATTCATAGAATCCTAATATAATCTACAGAATTCTAGTGGTGGTTGACTAAGAAGTGGGAAGCTTGGAACCTTCCCATCTGTGACCCTCCTTGTCAATCCCCCTTCAAGTCAGTCCAAGTTGCAGAAAACAATAGAACTTTATGAACATATTAGACAACCACTAGGATATAACATCTATTGATAACACAGTTTCATAGCTTCTCATCTTTACACACACACACACACATACACACACACACAATCTCTAGAATCTCCTCCACTAACAGACTATTTAGGGTTCAAAGTGCTCTTTTGAGTCCAGTTGTTCCTAATTCATAAGTATACTGCACTTATAGCCACTAATCTACA